TACTACTTGGTTAAGTTGAAAGACCCCCAACAAAGCCAACACCTGACCTAGCCTGATGTGCTGGCTAATATAGAAGATGCTCTCTGTTGCAAATAACTTGCATGTAATCACATTTAGGGATACCAGAGAAAAGAAAATGTATCAACTTCCCCTGTAGACCGTGTCTACAGTCTACAGTGTTAATTCTGCGATAGAGTAGTGTATTATGCCCGTTGGGCGTAACCTTACTGCCAACTATCCTGGACACATTTATATTGTAATCTGACAAGGCTTCAAAATCTGAAATCTAAAAACCAACATATGTTTTAAAAGAATTAAATTACAATTAGTTACATACAAAACATGATAAGGATTTGATGGATCTGTCACCTATGAATTCTAATGTGTTTTATTAGCCTATTGGACCTTGTATTATAGGAGTGTTTGGTGTCTAACTGATTAGTATCTTATTACACATAATTGTAACCATTTTATATGAAGGAAACTCCATTACTGTAGGGAACATGTAATATCAATTACGGTTGAAAATGTGAGATGTTTGAATTTTCAGCTTATAGTCCAAAAACCAGACTCACAGATGTGTATTGTTCACTAGACTGTTTACGACAAGGCCATTTCCAGCATGCCTCATTAGCCTTTTGGGAATGCTGGCTAGTGGAGGTTTATGACATCTCTGTATTCTTTCTTAGCTGGCCCGTGTTATGACAGATATGTCTTAGGTTGACTTGTGGTTTGTCAAATGTGTCACCTTACATGGCTGCCTAGCACAGACGTGAGATTTAAACCTGACCATTTTTGTTCCTGACATTAGAATTTTGGAGCAGAAAAGGGTGTTTCGGTGTTCAGTGCCACTCCCCCATTCTCTCCAGTTTGGGGTTCGTCACACTTCACACTTCACACTTAGAGTTGGCAGCGCTAAGGGTAAAATGTTAGTTCAAGTCTTTTGTTTTCTTTCATGTTATTCAGACAGAATCTTTATTATAAGACAGCTAGGTGTCTATTCTGAGCTCTAACAGAGGGCATTGCTCCTTTATTGTTTTCCTCTCAATATATTATACATTTAACAACCAATTCCAGTGAGCAGATGTCGAAACAAAGGTGCGGAGATTTTAGAAGATGATTTTACTCTGATAGAAGTGTGTTGTGGAAAAACACTAGCTTTTAATATTTGTTGCACCGATATGTTTTATATAATTAAAAGGCCGTGGGGTTTAAATCAGAAGACTGTTTACTAAAAGTTTAGATAGTCAAGTACCAACTTGCTGCGATGTATCATCCACACATAACGAAGCAGTTGCACTGTGGGGTAACAAACATATAGCAATCAGGGAACATGTCTGGGCATCTGAACACTTTCATGACAGCTCAGGAGATTCTGTGTGCTCCCTCTGTGCTGCATCTTGCTGCATTGGCTTGTAATATTTAAAGTGGAAGTAAAGCGTTTAAAAAACAAAATTGCTAAAGAGACTGTGCAAGTCCCTTCTGCAATAAAAGCTTCTTGCTGCCATTCAGATTATTTTATCTGTACACTGTGCTTCTCAGCCATACACTGTAAAAAATGGTTATATTTCTACTTCTGGGTGTCACAGGTGTACTACTACCTGTACAAATCAAAGACAGAATGCGGCTCTATGTTGGTAAACGCTGATCTAATTGTATACATGTGTACGGATACAGATGTACGCCACTTGACATAGACTGTCTGATTTAACCTAATCAGCCCTACTTTGCACCTTCTCCCCTTAACTATTACTTTCCTGCTGATTTTTTTTTTTTTTTTCTAACAATTAATACTTAAACTTGTTTTTATTAATTCATTCTGTTTATTAATGTTTTTTCAGTGTCACATTAACAACTGAAAAAAATTAAATCTGTTAGTAATTTTTAAAAAACTATGAAATGCTTTGCAGCAGAATCATAATTATAGTGCCAATGGGACAAATGTTAGAATAAAATGTTTACTTTTGATCTACACTGAGTGGCCAGATTATTATGACCACCTGACGTTTGTAGGCAAATTAGCTATAATTTCGCGCTGAAGTTGCAAGAGGGCCAGGCCATTATAAATAGGGAAGCAGGTTGTTTATCACGACGGTAGAAGTGATTTTTTTCTAAAGATATGGGTAAACAACGCGATTTAACAGCCTTTGAACGAGGGATGATTGTTGGCGCTCGGAGCCATGGAGCGAGTATCAGCAAAACGGCAGAATTCGTTAAATGTTCAAGAGCAGCTGTTGTTAAACTGTTTAAAGACTGGACTGTCAGCCGAAAATCTGGGTCTGAACGTGCGAATTGTGGCCGTCAGCAACTAGTCAATGTTAGCTCAGAACGGAGAGTGGCAAGACTGGTACAAGACAACAGAAGGGCAACAGTGCAGTGTCAGATTCCTCGCATCACCTTTCAACATCTCGTGGAGTCAACGAAGTCATCTCGTGGCCCAACGAAGTACTGATGGGGTGGTCATAATAATCTGGCCACTCAGTGTATAGTAACACTATTTGTAAACTAACACTAATTTAAGTAGAACAAAGTGCTTTTCTTTTGCTACTTTTTTTTTCTATGGATTGCAGAAAAAACGTTTTTAAAAAACCATTTTGGCAAGACGATATCACCAAAAGAAATACTTTTTTTGTCCTAAAAACAATATATGCTATAAGGTTTTTTAAGTGCATGACAGTCATGTGAAAAAGCACTGAAAAGAGCAGCTCCACAAAGTCTAGTCCAGTTCCAGACCCCCAAGCCTAACTGCAGGAGACTATGCCAGGGAGAAGGTGAATAATAGGGCTTTTTATTTTTGCACATGCTGATACATGGATTTTTTAGTTTAATAGACGAGAAGCAGTTGGCAAAAAATAATTTTTGGTGGGATAGTGTAGGAGTGTTAGAGCATCTATCAGGTTTTTATTGCCATCTGTATACTTTTGGGATGATTTTCCTATCACTTCCTGCCAGAAAGTAATTTGAATTTCAATTCCTGAATGAGAACAGCAGCACACAGAAGGCTTAAGATGGACATACACTGTACAACCCTCGCAAGACTCTTGTCTTGCAAGGGTTGTAAAGTAATTTAAAAAAACGTACGATCTGCCCATCTTGGACAGGCACTGTGGGGCGGGCTTCCGATGACTTCAATGCTGAACGGGCAGTGTGCGCGTGCGCACACTGGGCCTTTCGGCAGTTGTCGAACAAGCATGCCACTAACCTACCGAGAATTTCCAGCCTGCTTGTTCGACGGAAGACGTGCGATCGTACAGTAGAAACGGTCGCGCGCCTTCCATACACTTTGCGATTATCGTACGATCGCGGGATTTTCTGCGATTCTGGTTCGATAATCGTAGAGTGTATGAGCACCTTTACAGGCCCACAAATTTAACCATTTTCAAAAAAAACCAGGGCTGTTGGGTGGTTTCTTACCACCAGTGCCCCAAAGAGTGTTGTCAGCATTAGGCCAAGCATCTATGTGCAAATTATTTATCCTCAATGAGTGTAAAATTGATACGTCTGCCCTGCTGAAAAAAGTAGAACCCCTCTCTTGTACAGTTGGTCTTCTAATTCAATTAAGCCATCTAGGGTTAAGTGGAACAAATATGCTGTCTGGCAGATAAAGCTGTTGCTTGGTATACTAAAGAATGGATTCAGTGAATGGCAGCACTGGAATCTCCTGGATTCCCACATTCCCATTTTCTGTAATTTTTATGAGGTTCATTCTGTTTAATAACGGTAAATTTACTTTGACAACTTCAACTCTAGTGTTATCCAATGAAGAGAAGGACCTGACATGGAACAGTAAACCTTTGTGGACTATTTTAACCCTCCAATAAAGTGGACTTAAGCCTGCCGCCGTTATTCAAAAACAAATTTTCAAAACACTGAGGCAATCTAAAAAGACTACAAAGTCTGGACTCTCTACAAGAGATAACTGCTTATTTTGTCTAGGGGGATAAGACTAAGGTGGAATACTTACCTTATTTCTCGCTCCTGCAGGCTATATCCGAACTGCGCAACCAATCGCAGCTCTCGAGCATCATCACATACATTGTGGAGGGGGGGGTGTTTTGGGATGAGGGATGATCTAAGTAATTCACCTTATTCATCATCCCCTAGACAAAACGAGCAGTTAACCCCTCAGTCTTTAAAAGCACAATACAGTTCTCCTTGTTATTTGTAATTTGTAGCTATTACATTTGTTTAAAATAACAGTGGATTCTGTCAGTTTCATTCTCCTAATTCCAGGGTAGTGTTGTCAGCCCGCTATGCGCTCTGCCGTCTAAGATCAGCAGCAGAGCAGTATTGCTACTGCTGAAGCCTACAACAATTTTATCAGCACTCGTGACCTATTAGGACCTTGCCCCACCCACAGCTCTAACTGTGCAGACCATAAAAAGAGCTGCAAAGAGGTAATATGATCACACACAAAACACAAAAAAATACGCCATATGTGTGGAAGCCATTAATATTCAGCACATCATGGCTGAGCAATACTGAACCTAGAAAAAAGTGCTGCCATGATAAAAATTTTCCTAGTATGCCCTAGATGAGCTAAGCTATTAGTCATTATGATGGAAGTGGTGGGCATAGACAATTTCCTGTGCAACAGCATAAAAAAATAAAAGTTAAAGTGTTTCATGCAACTTGTTAGTGAAAAAAAGCACCTTTTCATTACAGTGGAATATTAATTTAAAGAAAGGCTGTAATGCCTAAACCAAAAAGCTTATTCCAATTCCACAATGACACAAAGGAAGACGTCATTCTAGGTACTGTGAGGCAGGCTGCAATACACACATTCCGCTTTGAATGATGGGTAAAATCAATATTCCATATAATATGCTCCAAAGAATGCCTCAAACAAAGGAAATTAGAAATACAGTATATACTGTAACGCTTATCCCATGTTAAAGTTATTTCTGTGGACATATGACAAACTCCGGTACGGCATTGTTTTTGAACATGGATTTGTGCATGCTCCATTTCTGATATAAATTACTCTCTTATTTTGGTAGGTCCTGCTCCAAGTTATACTCCATCTCCAGCAGGTGGTTACCCAGCACCTACCCAAGAGCCAGCAAACCGTCCACCATGGGTGACTGATGACAGTTTCTCTCAAAAATTTGCACCGGGCAAATCTACAACTTCTATTACTAAGCACATCCTGCCCAAAGCAGCACCACCACCCCCAGCTCCAATCACCACCACCAGCTATACACCTCAGCCTGTGAGCCACCCCCCTTCACAAGCCCCTCGGGGCCTGATTCAGCGTGCTGAGAGATTCCCAGCAAGCAGCAGGACCGCTCTGTGTGCGCACTGCAACAGTATCATTAGGTAAGTACAGCACCAGTAAGAAGGTGAAATCAAAGCTATGTTTACCAATAAGTTCCCGGTCATTTCACATAATTCTGCAACTGTTTGAGATTAAGCAAGGAATATATTCAACATCTGTTTATCAGAAATTTTTCAAAAATCATATAAGGGTCTACTTTAGAGACAGCAGTTTGGCCGTACCATGTTATATAGCCCATTTAAAAAATGTGGGCTGCAATGTTTAACCCGTGTTGCCCTACAAAGCTTAATGCAGCAGCGAAACATCCGTAACTGGAGGAGAGCGAGCCTTTGACAGGTCACATGATTAGCCTCTACTCCCAGCTTTTTAATGATTAACAATTGCCATTCAGGTTTATTGTGCTCCACCAGCTTTGGATTCCTGAAGCCAGTGGAGTGCAATGCACACTTGTAAGGCCCACTGGTGCAGGTTTTTTTTAGAAGTGTTATGACCATGGTACTGCTGTTTAAACAGACCTTTTCTACATACAGACCATTTTTAAACAGACCATTTTTAAACAGACCATTTTCTACATACACCATGCACATCGGATAGCTTTACTAATTTTAAAGAATAATTTGCGGTACACTAGTATGCAGGGCTTAGCATCTGCTTGTAGCAGACAAAGCACGTGGCATGCAAAAATTTTCTGGGAAGAACATGTGAGAACTACAGACGCAGTGCCTCAAATATAAGCACATTGTTGTAGATTACAGCCAAGGATTATTTAGACACAGCAATCTTCCTAGTGTATACTAAGGACAGTTCTATAGTAAAGTATGTTTAGTCAAAAAAAAATTAATGTTTTGAATTAAGTGGGAAAGGATTAGAATCCCTGTCATGTTTTACTGCTTATCTAGGCCTCTCTCAAGACAGAAACGCACATTTCATTGCAGTACATTGGGGTTGTCATTTTGAATTGAGGCAATGCAACTTTGACGCAAATGTGTTACAGCACATAATAAAATAATAGTGTTGCTGTTGGTAATTTTTCCTCACTTTCTGTCTGGTGAAACTGTTATTTGCATACAATACTATAAAAAAAAGTTTTGGCTAGACATTTTATTTAAGTAGCTGTGTATTAGAGGAACTTTGGTTTTAAGATGATTGTTATACCGTATATACTCGAGTATAAGCCGAGATTTTCAGAGTGTTCAGATGGGTGAGGGGTTTAGCATTTTTGGTTGTGAACGGTAACAACCATACTGATAATTTGCTTTTCGATGATTTTATATAGAGGACCTTTCTTAGTGGCAATGGGTCGGTCATGGCATCCAGAGGAATTTAACTGTGCCCACTGTAAGACATCCCTGGCTGATGTGAGTTTTGTTGAGGAGCAGAAGGGCGTTTACTGTGAACGGTGCTATGAGCAGTTCTTTGCCCCAACTTGTGCTCGCTGCAAGACTAAGATCATGGGGGTAAGTAACATATTTCAGTTAGACATGGAAACTATGTTCTCTATTACAGTATATTTAAACCCAATCAAAAAAATATCTAAAATCAATCACAAAAAAATCTCATATAAGCTATAACATGCGTTTTTCAACCGCCGAAACATATCAGCCGAAAATGGCAATTTGGGCAAAATACCTAAAGTGCCATCTTTCAGCCGAAATGGCAATACATTCGCAGTTTCTCTCCTCCCCGCTGTGCGCTGCTCTGTGTCCTCTCTGACAACAGCCCAGCATCTAGCGGGGAGGAGAGAAACTGTCAGGAGACCGAGCGGGGCAGGGAGAAGAGCGCTGTGAGCGTGTCACAGGAGGAGCTCTCTTCACGCACCGCCTCCTGTAACATATCAGCGGTGTGGGGGCGGAGACAGCTGTCACAGGAGGCAGAGCCGGCAATAAGGAGGAGGAGTCAGCTGTTAAATGAGATGGAGCTCTCCTTCCCGAACCGATGGCTCACCCTCCTGTGAGAGCCAATCCAGGATGGAGAACGGCATACAAACACTGAATGTTTGTAAATAATTGGACATATTATGAATTACTATGTACCAGTTATAAATGAATAGGAAGTACTCTACCTCACTTCCTGTTCTTTAATGATTGGGGACATAGTAACTCATACTACCCTGTTTCCCCCGAAAATAAGACCTACCCCGAAAATAAGACCTATTACTATTTTTGGGAATTGCTAAAATATAAGACCTACCCTGAAAATAGAGCCGCGGGAGAGGCAGGAGAGAACCAGCGGTGCCAACGAAGTCAGCTCTAGAGGAGGCGAGGCGGCATCGGAGGGAGCAGAGCCGCATAAGCTAATGCCTCCTCTATAGCGCCGGCTCCTGTCACAGGCGAAGTGATACCAAATGCACTCTGCCTGTGAGGAATCGATAGTGAAAGCGCACTTCGCTCATTCTGGCCAGCGATTTGGTTAGCAAATTGCTCTTGGAAAGGTACGGCACCCCTGATTGCCCTGATCACCATATTTTTGTACATGAATACATGTAGACTGTTGTACATGAATAAGTGTGGATTGTTGTACATTAAAAAAAATCAGACCTACCCGAAAATAAGACCTAGTGTGTTTTTTTGAGCCCAAAAAAATATAAGACAGTGTCTTATTTTCGGGGAAACACGGTATATCCACAATGTATGAATGAACAGGAACACTCAAGATTCCTGTTCATTCAGTGCTCGGGCTGCAGAAAAAGAGATTGAGGACTCTGTGTCCTCATCTCTTTTTCTATTGTAAAAGGGAAATATCAGGAGTCCGTTTAGACCCCTGTTATTTCACCAATGCCACCACCAGTAAAGTAAAAAAATAAATAAATTAAAAAAAAGAAAATGTAAAAGTTTAGAAAAAAATAAATAAAAAAATAAATATTTTTAAAAATTATAATTTTTCGGCTTCGGCCGGACATTTTTTATCTTTTCTAAAAGAATACAAAATTGGCACATAATTTAATCTAATTTAATTTCCAGTGTATAGTTGATGCCTCATAGAATATATCCACTCAGAGGGATTTAACGTAATATTATATGTTTTAAGATGTTAAAGTTCAGTGAAGCTAATAGATTTGTATGACATATTGACTGACACCTACCTCAATTATGGTGTTGTAGTTTCCTCTGTTTACCAGACATCTGCACCGTAAGGCCCCTTTCACACAGGCTGATCAAGAGTAGATTCATGCCCAAATGCCCTCCTCAACGGAGTAGTAAGAATCGGATGTCAGCGTTGTGACATTTGTGTCTGTCCAGTTTTTTTCTCCATCTTGCGATGGAGTTAAAAAACTAAATGACCGGACCCAATGTCCATCTATGAGGAACCAGATGTAAATGGACATGTGTCCATTTACATAAGATTACCCCCAATCTGGCACAACCATGTCCATTAAAACAAAAAACTGTTCCATTGTTTTTCCGGACCTGGACGGAGTCCGGGGTAAGTGGGGGTAAATGGATGTCTGAAAAACGGAGAGGCCTCAGGTCTAAAAACCTGTATGCTTATTGGCTTAGAGAGGTCCTTTACAATATGATAAATAAATGATAAGGAGGAAAGATAACATGAGAGAAGAAAAGAATCAATACCATAGCATTAGTTATTAACTTCTGTCAATGTGGCAGAAATCTAGGCTTTGTGTAAACTAAGCTTTATTAAGTTTAAACGTTTGAATTAAGGCCAATTTGTATAACCCTATAGAAGCACTATACTTTTCTTTCAGACACTGAAAAAAATGCGGTACATTTTGTCATAAAGTAACTTTGTAAGCCAAGTTATCATGGACATATTTTACTCACAAGTTATCTTCTGACTACTGTTACTAATTATTTTATGTTGGCTATTGGATCAACTACATTTATTTGATAGAAAAAAAGGCATTGTCAAAATGGTCCAATTACTAAATTATATTTAAAAATGGACTTAAAAGCCATTGCCTGATTTTAGGGAAGCTTGAGGGATAGTTCACACCAGATAGATTGTAAACCCTCACGGGCAGGTCCCTCCTTGCCATTAGGGATGAGCAGAACACCCCCGTGTTCGGTTCTAACTCGAACTTTCGAACATGCAAAAAGTTCTAATTCGAACTTAGAACTCAATGCAAGTCTATGACGAGCATTAGAACATGCTATGTTCGAGTCGAACATAGGTTCGACTCGAACGCGAAGCCCATCCCTACTTACCATCTTGTCTTGATTTATATTGTGATTGTTGGCGCTATATAAATCCTGTATAATAATAATAATAATAATAATACAGTTGTAATGCAGTCCGTTCAGTTTAGCATTCAATAGCATTCAATATATGCTGCAGCCAAAATACCCAATGCTTTCCTATAGGATTTCTGGTGCTCTATTCACACCAGTGTAGTCTGTTCCGATGCAGTCAAAAAAAATACTGCTTGTTTGGTATATTTTAGCTGCATCGGATTGCACCGGAACGCATCAAAAACGCATGCAAACACACCTGAAAAATCCCATTTTAAGCAAAAAAACGCATCAATCGCAGTAACATTGCGACAAAATATATTTTATTGCAACTGCGCAGACGCACGCAGTTCGGGTGTAAACTAGCCCTAAAACCCTGACATCAATAGCTCATTTTGATGCTGCTGAGCAATTTGGTAAGCTTTTTGCAGTCAGGATTAATAGGACTTTGCTCTAGGTCAGAAGAAATGTTTGATGTGCAATCGTTAAGTATAGATGGTGCCAGACAAGTTTTGAAATATATGGTGTCCCTGTTGTAGGCTCTGTGCCCTGTTTTATAGTTTTGAGAAAGCATTGAATGCAAATACGTATTTCAAGCATAGAAGAAAGCTCAATGCCATGTTTTAGGTCATATACTTCAGACAGACTGTCTAGATAACAATCCCAAGCTGTGAATAGACCCAACAGTGCATTACAAGGTCACAATGCACCACATTAGCTAGATTAGAAAAAGCCTGGCAGTACAACAAAAAAACAGCATGACCTTATCTCGCTTTACTCACTGCCACATTAAAAGAGGAGTGATGAACACTTGGGAACCATTTCTTGGAAATTATTCTCCTATAGATGCCTTTCTATCTGTAAGATTAGACATGATTTCAAGCTAAAAGTAAATAACATTCAGGAAAGAGGCAATCATGCTTGGCAAACAAAGCTGAATATTCCTGTCTTTTCTACATCTGGTGCCAAAAACATTTTTGCTTTATTTAAGATTCAGTTTCCAGGTCCTAAATTATATGTTTACATTTTTTACTATCTTCCATCATTTACATAAAGGATTGTAAGATAATAATTAATACTATTTCTTGGAAATCTTCATAACCAAGGTTTCCGAGCAAATCGAATTTCATATGGGTGTCGAGAAATCTGCAACATGTTCACCAATTCTCATGAATGGCCCAAGTGAAAAGTATAAGACTATTGGAACAATTCTGGAGGGGCTCCATGAGATCTAATACAAACAAATATGGTTACACTACCCCATAATATTCTATCATTCCTCTAGTACCAACAAAACTGTTTTTTTGTCTAAAAGTATATTAGAGGAAGACTCCTAAACTGTCAGAAGGATGCCTAAACTGCCCCTAAGCTTAAAAAAATATAAACTACTTTGGCTGGAGATGGTTTTTAAGCAATATATGCTGGTTTGGGGACTGTGCCAGCCTATGATTGAGTGATGAATCCTAGTGCTTTCAACTCATTGAAGCATGTACAGTGACCAAACTGATAGCACTATGCAAAGCCTGATTGGCTTAGAGTTTCCCCTCCCTCTCCCAGTATGACACCTACTCTGCATAGGATTACAGGCAACTGATATCAAGTCAGATTTAGTTACTTATGCTTACTGTGTAAAAATGCATATAATTATGATGTAATTGAATTATGTGGCACTTTAACATCTTCCTGAAGTTTAGCCTTCAATATCATATAGGGTTAAACCTTGGATGGCCACATTCTATTGTTTTGAGGTAGGGGGTTGAGTGCTCTCATAGGCTGCTTGTCATTTTCTTTGCTTATCCTATTCTTCAGCGTTACATTATACTATAACAATCAGTGTGCAGCATACAGATCTATAGTCATAGGAATGACAAACTGGGCACTCACTTTAGAATTAGCACTCTGATTCAATAAGACTGTACGTCTTAAAGAAGAACTTTAACGAGAAGGAGCACATAAGGAGGAGTTTATTGTTAGTATTCACATACAATTTAAGCTAGAGGTTAAAAAAAAAGACATTCAAATGTATAATAAAACCCTCTTCTCTGAAATGAGTACAGTAATCCACTGTCCTGTGTAAAGGGGAAGAACATTTACTCTTAATCCCCATGCCAAATAGTTACTAAACTTAGAAAAGGAAGGACATGCCACAGTTTTTCTCAGCTTTAAAAGTTACGAGAGCTTGTCATGTTATATTTAGTTTACAGATCTTATACTTAAATTGTGAAATTATTCAAAATACTGTCTTCTCTCCTTCCAGGAAGTGATGCATGCTCTAAGACAGACCTGGCACACTACCTGCTTTGTCTGTGCTGCCTGCCGGAAGCCATTCGGTAATAGTCTTTTCCATATGGAGGATGGAGAACCATACTGTGAAAAAGGTAACAAAGGCAATTGCAACCGAAAGGAACTATTAAAGACCTATGTTCCTCTGTGTGCTACCGGATCACAGTTCATTATAAAATTACAGTTACATGTTAATGTTTTGGCTATTTTGCTAAAGATGCCTTTGGGTCTGATAACTGATTCATCTCACATGTTCAGTGCAAAGCACACTGTTCTTCCACAGCCCTTGGGGTATGCTACCTACTGAATTTAGAGGAAAGAGAACTGCTCATAAGAAAAGGACCTGTACATAGAAATATTTATATACCTGAAGTATACATACATTCTACTGTGTGTACATATAACTCACAGGCAGTGGGTTATGTTAGTAGCATTATCTTTGCTTACCTTTGGGAAACAATGCAACATTGTACACTTTCCAGTGCATTTGACTTTATTAAACAACTTTGGCGTCAAAAGATTCCAGTGCTGGGAAGAGCAGGACACTCAAGTGCATTGATCACGCCACTAGCGTGTACAAAACATTAAAATACAACTGAAGGCTCCTGTATGACAGTCTAAACAAGTAATAAATCCAGTTACCATGGACAAGCCTCAAAGTAAAAAAAACACCTTCCTTTACTTTCCCTAACAGAGCCAAATCCTCAAATCTTGTTGTATGTGACACACTCCCCATCCCAGACACTGCAGCTCACAGTGGGAGGCTTTCAGCAGCAGATGCAGTACTATCAATCCAGAAACCAGTGGGCAGCACTAGGTGTGCCTAGGTGTTGACTGACAAGCTACAGGCTTCTAAATCAGCAGGGGCAATGCTGATAGCCAGGTCCCCTGCAACATATTTTCACACTACTGTAGTGCAAGCATCCACATCCTACATGAGAGTGGTGACTCTGCTCTGAATTCAAGAGCAGTGCAGCATCATTGTCACCCTATCACAGGAAGTTGCATTATGTGGACTTGACTGACAGACACAACAGGTATTTTTGGGATGTTGCAGGGGACTAAGAGAAACTGTAAGTGAAGATGCACTTATAATAAAGTTCTGCAGCACATATTTTTTCATTGGAGGCCATAGTTATGCCAGTGGGTAACCGTACCTACTGACAAGTACCCACTATAAGATATCAGTTTTGATTGGGTATGGTTAAAAATTCTGATCAAGCTTGTTAATATAATTTTATTTGAAGAGATGTGAAATATTAAACATGCATCATTATAAATGTTTCTTTATGCCCTGTAAAACATTTAGGCTTTAAATCATCAATAATAGATTTGTTAAAGAAGGAAATCATATCATTAGCTCAAAGTCACAAATCTTCCTTTCAGACTGGGTTACTCATCTTTTGCTCTCTGCTAATTCATGACAACTTTCTTATATTAGCTTAAAAAAAGCTGGAATGTGTTTTTATCTCTTCTATAGTAAGTACAAGTGAAATATGAAAACACTCTTATTTTGTTTAAAGTAGACGGGTGTGTGGATAATTACATAAAGCATAATAATGTAACTTGTCAGCATCATGTATATTCCATCTTGCCATGTAGACTTAGAGTCCTGTGTGAGAGAGAAGGAATTCTGGGCTGGTGTTAAAGTGCTAAATCTTGCACTACCTGCTTAAGATTTGAGCAGCAGCTACTGGGAAAATATTACAGTTTACTAGGCTAGGGAGCGTCATGCTACAGGAAGCCGTATACATAAATAGTACTACATTGCCAATCCCTATTGAGTTTCACAGTCAATATTTATCTTGGTGCAGATTAAAGTAGTATTGGGAGAGTAACATATATTCTTCCCAATACTTAGAGCCAGCGTGTGAAACTGCAGCTGCCACATGCCGGCCAGGGCTGGATTACCATAGTGGCTACTGCAGTGCCAGCTCTAGGCCCATCACTGAAAATAGGCCTGGCTTGTCCAGATCACCTCTGTATGCCCGATGGCAATCCAGGCAGCCTGGGCAGAACACAATCAGGTAGAGGCGCTGGCGGCTCTTTAATCAGGCATATTAGGCAGCAACGAGGTCCCAGCAAAGAGCGAGTGGACACCTAATTAGAGAGCCACCTCTGCTGCTTCCCGTCCAACAGCACCAGGCACATGATGCTCTTAATCTGTCCCTGATGCTGGCTCTATACCGAAATCTAAGCATTCATGTAACAACTGATTGCCCAGCTCACAGTCTCTTCCTTGCAGGGAGCAGTAATTGTTGGTCACCTTTGCCCACAGAGATTCCTCCCTCCCCTCTCTGTTCCTCCAGCCCTCAATGGAGGGACACACAGGGAAGGGGCTAGGCACAGCTGGCTCTGGCTCTACAGAGGCAAAGCCAGCTGTCAATCAGGCAGCTAGGTGAATCTCGACAACATTGTCAGGATCCTTCCCACCTGCACCCTGGATTTGCGCTTTTAGCAGATATCAAGCATTTCTCGCTGCCCATATTCCCACTACTCTAAAGAAACACTTCTTTTTAGTTTTAGATGGAGTAGGGGGAGCTTAGAACCACTAACAGGTTTTTAAATTTGGGGTGCATCCCTTACTTCCTGCTGTGACACCAATCACCTAAGACAGGAAAAGAGGGGACATCTCCCAAATAGGGACGCTGACAGTAAAAACAAACTTAATAGAATGTCCAATCCTTCCCCTGATCTATCCAAAAACATTTGGCAGGAAATTAGCCTAATGCAAATTATTCCCAGAGCACTATGTCTAAGCTAAAAAGACACAGAGCAACAGCCACTGAGTGCTTTATGGCTCAGTTTGTGTGCACGATTGAAACTTTGGACTAAACCATCTGATAAGGTAGTATTGACTGCTGTGATAGCACATTGGGTACTAAAACCCTTCCCTTTAACATGCACATACCTTCCCATGTGCTCTGCAGAACTGCACACCAGCAACCCTAGCAAGTTAATGCTGAAATGACAACAGGGTGTAGAAGAGCCCAGCCAGCTGATTCTGTCTACGGCAAACTATCAATTAGAAGCTTGTGGTCTTTTCAGTACTATAGCTGGTATTGTTGGTGTGTAGTGCTGCAGAGCAAATTGTCATATTCCTGCCACCCATTTACCTGAAGAGTCTTCTCAAAGAGCATGTTAGAGGGCAACAAAGACTTTGAAGAATTAAAGATTTAAAAGGAGAGGTCTGGAGGGCATAGGGGGAGCTAAAGAACTTGGGTGTACTGGGTGATTACCAGGTGTGTACCCCACATATACATGACTATGCAGAACTTTAGAAAGCATTGTAATGCATGCATCTGGTCACAAAATTAGGAATCATCCTATTCTAGTAACTGCATGCAGAAAATGCCGTAAAAGTGTACAAAGTTGTATAAAAATGCACAGTACATAAAATACATTAACACAACAGATTTAAAATGTAAATTTTTAGATGCTGAATTGTATGGGGCATAATATTTTGCCAGAATTTTGTACAGTTCCTTCTTTAGCCTCAGTAAAATATACATGCTGCCATTACCTGCACTGCAGCAGGCTTGGCACTTTTTTATTACATGAGCCGCATCCATTCCAATGAGGAGGGGATCTCTAAACAGATACTCTGCTGAATCAGAGGAGAACAGAACAGATATCACTTGTGACATCAGTTTTCTATTGGGTACCCACCATAGCTCTTCAAAAATGATAAAAAGGTAGTGTTTGTACAGTAGAAAGATCCTAAACACAGCTCTGAACAGGAGTAAAAATTTGGGACCATAGCCATATTAGGAAGTTATAGATCAACGAGTTAATAGCATTCTTGTTTGCTTTGCAGATTATGTCGCTTTGTTCAGTACAAAATGCCATGGATGTGATTTCCCTGTTGAAGCTGGAGACAAGTTTATTGAGGCCCTCGGCCACACCTGGCATGATAGTTGTTTCATCTGTGCTGTGAGTATCACCTTCCACATGACATCTTATCTTGTTATAATAGTAAAAAAGAAAAAGCTACAAAATGTAAAAACAAACTTTCATATTTTTCCACCACATGCCCTATAATTATGTGCTTGGTCATGTTAGGCCCATCAAATGTGTAGGCCAGGCTTAGTCACATAGCTAATAATTTAATTATACATCATGTAAACATTCTTCAAAAACATCCTGAGTAACATATTGATTTTGGGTTATAGGTTTGCCATGTGAATCTGGAGGGCCAACCCTTTTACTCTAAGAAGGACAAGCCTCTTTGCAAGAAGCATGCTCATGCCATCAACGTGTAAGAAGTACCACTGGCTCCCATGCTGGAAGAAATTGAAGAGAAAATGGTCAACACTATTGGTCAACAAAAGTTTTTGCATGTTTGCAACACTGCAAATGATGATGCAGTTAAATCAGTTTTATAAATCTAAAAAAGCAACACCATCGTACAACACAGTACAAAGAAATTGTTTGGTTTAAGAAATCTATGCAAAGAGCATATGTGTAAAATTTGACAGCTAACTTTGTTGCTGTGCCTGAGTGCGATTTTTTTTTTTTTTAATTAGGAAAAATTTGTTGAAATGTACATCAAAAGCGCTAACAGAATAATCGATAGGGATAAAGAATACTTGTCATATAAGTCAGTATAGCTAAGTGGGCACATGGAGCGCCTTGCAGTTTTTACTGATACTACTGTATTATTCGTTATCCTTGAAATCTAACAGAAATAGAATCTTCTGCTAGACTCATCCAGATTGACGTGGTCTCTGGAAAAGTCATCAGAATATTACATTTTAGTGACAGGTATTAAATGATACTGAAATTGTGGAAAATCTTCAAATGTTTTAATGCTGATTACTTAAGCTTCAAACTCAAGACTTAGTCTAGGCCATCGTTTACACTAATGATACATCAAGCACCACTTTCAGAATCAAATTAGCCTCCCGAGAGGTCACGTTTAAAAGTGACAGAGCGCCAATAAAAAAAAATCGTGTTAATTCTGTTTCTAAAACATTACAACGCATTGTATATAACCACTGCCTGATCTGAATTTACGGCTGTGGGAAAAGTTACCTCCTTGACGCCAAAGGGGTTTATTAAAACATACAGTCCTAGAGCAGTTTTGCAAAAGTGCATGAGGAAGTCATTGTTCAGATGATGCTGATGGGAGATTGAACACAGAGCTGTAGCCCTAGCAGAAAAATAAGCAGAGTGCCAAGCAACCAGATGTATGGTATTTTTAGAGCCGCCGTGGATAGTGTTTTAAAATAAATGAAGTGCATCTTAGCCAAAAAAGGAAGTGCTGCTCAACTGTTTATATCATGGTCCCCCGGCACCTTTCTAAGCAAAGAGGGATTGGGCAATACATAGCCTGGGTGCCAGAACAGAGTAGTCCCAAAATGATACTTCAGTTAAAATAACTTATATATATATATATCTAAAAGGATTTGCTACTTAAGAATGTTTTATTACTAGGATCATTGTGTTACTTCATAGCTAATACAGAGCAAAGATTCTCTTCTCATTTACAGTCTACAGAGCTTTGCAGAATGTTGTGCTTCAGATGGATTGCATTTTTACAAAGCTCTAGCTTTACATGTTTTTTTTTTTTTAGGATTACAGACTGATTAATGCAAAGTATATGAGAAGGTACATTCAATGCATTACTGCCACCCTCATTTGTGACACTTTGTCCAGATTGACAGATGAGGTTAAAGTAAGTTAAAAGCTGATAACATTAAGCTGTTTTCATTATTTTCACATACGATGCCAATTATTTCTCGTTTCCTGGGGCACCAAAAGCTAAGTTGGCAGTATGTGAGATGTTCATGGTTCATACAGATACAGTATGTAAATAGGTTTAATACTGTAAAGTTAAAACACATACCAGTGCAGTGTGTTGTTTTAATATCAAACAGAATTGGATAACTGAAAGTCATATTACATTCTTGCCTATTTTGCAGCCATTATAAAAGTTACTATACGCCCCACAAACTGCTTGATGTCTGTCTTGAGGGGTGCCATCTTACTCTTGCTTCTGCTTACCAATCTCACAAAACTCTGCAGCTTGTTACTGGAGAGTTGCCAATGTCACAATGTCACTATACCGAACACACAGTAGGGGATAATGATACCTCAGTAATTCTCCAGTCAAATGCTGCGGAATCTGAGGAAGATCTAAAGAAGGCGAATGGAAGTAATGTCAGGTCCTGTTACAGCTAAACCTGTAATGAGAAATCTATGCCCTCATGCTGATCCAATGGTTTTAATACCTTGACTGAATAAATATGCTGATCAGAAGTTCTGACTTCATTTTCGCATTGCTTGTTCAAGGGCAGCAACACAAAGCACTGAAGTCCGACAGACAGAATATGAAATTTCAGAATGAGAGCAGCAATTGCAGCCCCATATTTGACTTGGTACAAGTTTCCTTTGTGAACCTGTACTTTGTCCATACAGGGACGCAAATACCATCCTCCTCAGCTGTACATGCCTTCCTTCTTTTCCTTTCCTACCACAACCCATGTAAACCACAAGTTGCCGAACACTAAAAAACGTTCTCCCCACCCCATATGATACTGCTGGATCCCTAATCAGCCAGTTATCAAGCAATGGCGCTGGCAGCAGGGTGATGGAAATGTATGTTCTGCTTGGGGAGGACAGTAGTTAATTGAACCCATTCTTTTACATTGTGAGGGCAAGACACAGGTTCACTCTAAATAATAATTGTTAATGGTAAAGGTTAGATGTATTTTTCTATAGGGTATGGAAGTTAGGGCCAGAAGTGGGTGAAAAGCTTAGTAAAGATGCAGGACGATGCATGTTAGCACAGTCATTATTGCACGCAATTAGATTTTTTTCTTTAACGTGGTTTGAAGCATTTTTTTCAAACTGAATATAAAGCTGCAAAGCAAGACTACTAAATGCTCTGCACCTCCACCATACATGTAAAACAGTTTAGGCAGCATGGCTTTGAGAATGTTTACATATCTTCCCCTGACATTATCAGATCTTCTAAGACCAAGACATAGAATAGTAAGTAATTTTGAATATTTGTTAACACATGCCAATAGAGGCTAAGGATTTGAAAGTTGTGCTGTATCAAAGCTGGCCTAGCTAATCTTGATTTAGTAAATACTTTGGTGTGTGGATGTATATTTTGTATGTTGTTTTAGCATGAGTGCATTTACAGAATTACTAAAAAGCAGATGAGCAGATTTGTTTTATGTCAGTATACCATTCTTGTCAACAATCTCGGGCTGAATTATGAGACAAAGTAGGTCACATCCATGATCTGGCCAAAAGTACCCAAAGCATGATATGTCCTTCTTCACACTAGAGTTATCAGTTGACACTTCTAGGATATTTGCATCTGATAAGTATGGCATACAGGCTACATAGCAAATCCTGCTTATACAATACTTTTAGCACAAGCATAATTTGTAAGCTAAATTCTCAGAAAAAGCTATACAATATATTTTCCTAACTGTACTCATTTTTAGTTTTTTGCCTTTGTAATATACACAGCTTTTACATATACAGTATTCCAATAGTAATGGAATCGAAAGCAAGAAAAAAAAAAAAGTATATTTAAGTACACTTACTTCACAAAATGACGTGTGCCTTTTAGTGCGTGTGTGTGTGTGTGTGGATAAGGAACTGTGTATACAAATATACAAAATTTAATAGGATTTGTTTGTGGAAAATTAAAACCAAATGAAATATTGCCATAAGTAGCTAAGTAACAAGTAACTATGCAACTTTACCTAATATTTTCTACTGTTTGAGTGACTAATATTGAACTAAATTAATTTTTTGTGGATTATAAAACTATTTATATAAAAATAGGAAAATAACCAGAATATAGAGTTTTAGCGCGTAGATGAAGGTATTTATTTATTTGTGTGTGACTATTCTATACTTTGGATTAAAGTTTGATAAAACAAATTTAGATGTGCAATTGGGAATTGAACTTCAATAAGCTCAGTTATTATTGCATTTTTAATTTAATAATTTTCAAACCTATTCAAAATGGGGTTTAGCACGGAAAAGGTAAATTAATGTACAAAATGTGCATACATAGTTTACACCTGAAGCATGGATGGATGTATGTTCAGGTTTCATTTTACTTTTGTTTAGCTCTATGTTCAAACATAGGAGGAGTTTAGCGTATTTGGTGCCTCAGTCTCAAAAGTTTGCCCCAACGGTCTGCACTGCATGTTATTGGTAGAGAGGACTGAGTAATAAAGTCTTTGACCTAGTTATAGCCATGCTGGGTTTTAAGCTATATACACATTTATAGTATGCTTACTTGCCATTGCATTGCAAGTTGCCAGATAATGGCTATTCATATTAAAGATATCCAGTCTCTTTGGATATTTGCTTGTTGTGTTTACAAGAAAACTAAACTATAGACTCACACAACCACACAAGTAGCTTACTGCCCTATACACTAGAGAAATGTATAATTGGATGCACTATAAATCTACACATTTACAGAGTAGTGGCACATCCACTTATTTTCTATTTTAACTCAAAAGGGTGCTCACCATTATAATATAAAATCCAGCTTTCTACCTTTTTCATCTTTTCTCTGGGATTAGGACCTAAAGGAGTGTCTGTGGCTTAAATGAATGCAGTTCTGTCATACCAAGCCCTCCCTAGGTACATAAAGTAAATCAGACAAAATAGGTTTCAGAGCAGTTTAGTTTGAAAAACTGATGATACTACAAATTGTAATGCATGCGGCTGGTTCTCCAAGAATTTTTTTTTTAAAAAAGTACAAAAATACATTCAGTGATTTCCGAAAAGATGTCCAAAGTTTAGGTTTTGTGATACAGTATTTAAAGACACAGTAAGAGTCTATGGCCGCCAAAGGGCAGCAAATTTAGCCCAGACCTGTTAAGAAAAAAGTTTATAATCACTCTCATTAGTTACACTCCCGAGCCTGTTGTTACTGCATGGGCTGTCTGAGCACTCCTGCTCTGTATCCAAAGTCCAAGGTGCTTCTGGAATTCATTTAAAGCATATCTAAACCCCAAAACGAAAATGTAATATACTTCAGATTAATAGACCCTCGATGTGCTGGCTGCATTAATTTTCTTTTAAGTATAAGAACATGTAATTATAGAAAATACCTGTTAATCTTGCTAGAAATGCTGTGTCTTGGTCACTTTCTGTAATCCTAAAAGAAAGCACAAGCATTCTTATCTGTCTTGTATAAACTACTAGTCCCATAAATCCACCATGTTATAGAGAAGAACAAAGGCAGGCATGTTTGAAGTCCAGCCTGAGTGACAAC